TGAGTGGGAGGAGGAGAAGGAGAGAGAGGGAGAGGAGAAAAAAGAATAAATAAAAACAGGGTTTTGGGGAGAGAAAGAAAGAAGGGATGGGGAAAATGAGAGAGAGACAGGGAGGGAGGGGGAGAAGAGAGAGAGAGAGAGAGAGAGAGAGAGAGAGAGAGAGAGAGAGAGAGAGAGAGAGAGAGAGAGAGAGAGAGAGAAGAGAGAGAGGAGAGAGAAGAGAGAGAGAGAGAGAAGACAGCGAGAGAGAGAAAGAAAGAGAAAGACACTGATAAAGAGAGAGAGAAGAGACAGCGATAAAGAGAGAGAGAAAGACATGATAAAGAGAGAGAGAAGAGACAGCGATAAAGAGAGATAGAAAGAAAAGAGAGACAGCGATAAAAGAGAGAGAAAAAGAGACACGATAAAGAGAGAGAGAAAGAGAAAGACAGCGATAAAGAGAGAGAGAAAAGAAAGAGAAAGACTGATAAAGAGAGAGAGAAGAGAACGATAAAGAGAGAGAAAAAAAGAAAAGACAGGATAAAGAAGAGAGAAGAGACAGCGATAAAGAAGAGAGAGAAGAGACAGCGATAAGAGAGAAGAAAGAAAGAGAGACAGCGAAAAGAGAGAAGAAGAGACACATAAAGAGGATAAAGAGAGAGAGAAGAGACACGATAAAGAGAGAGAGAAAGAACGATAAAAGAAGACAGCGCGAAAGAGAAAGACAGCGATAAAGAGAGAGAGAAAGAAAGAGAAAGACACATAAAGAGAGAGAAAGACAGCGATAAAGAGAGAGAGACAGGAGAGGAAGACAAACAGAGTGGCAGAAAAGGGTTACCCGGCAGGAGGTAAGGGTTGCAGAGGTCAAACGGAGGGTAAGTTCCTTCTTCCTTTTCTGTTTTACTCTCTTTCTTTCTCCCTTTCTCTTTCTCTCGCTCTCCTACTCTTCCTCTCTTTCTCCCTCTCATCTCTGGTTTCTGATCTGTCAATCTTTTCCTCTAAAATCTCCTTTTTTCTGTGTTTTTTCATTGATTCTAGCTGTTGTATTTGGATCGAAAGAAATGTAACATTTTTGTGATATATTTGTGGTTAATGAACTATCACCAATAAATCAGCCATACTAAATTTTATATATATATAATATATAATATAAATATAATATATATATATAATATATATATATATATAATATATATATATATATATCAAACAGACAGAATCCAACTCGAAGCTGGTTTCATTCCAAAAAATCTATCTATCTATCTATATCTATCTATATATATATATATGTGTATACACACACACACACACCTGTGTGTGTGTGTCCTTCTCCACCCTCTCTTTACCCCCCCACCCCCCCCCCGCCCCCTCCTCGCCCTCCTCAGCAAAAGGTAGATGCTCGGAAGGTCATGACTTGAAGGGGGGAGGGGGAGGGGGCGACGAGGAGGAGGCGAGGGCTAAGTGGGGTGGAAGACAAGGAAGAAGAAGGAGGGGAGGGGGGAGGTGGATGGAGGAGGGGATGAAGAGGAGGGACGGGGAAGGAAGAGGAAGGGGGGAGATAGCAAGTGGGCGGTATGCTCAACTGCATGATACAGCTTAGGGGTCAGAGCCTCTTGGTTTATAGGTGGGAAATTCGACCTTACGTCCGTTTTTGCTTCGCTTGTGGGTAGAATAAAAGAATTAAGTTTATCCTGAGGCCGTGTAGGTATGTGTGTACGGACTGTGTGTGTGTGTGTGTGTGTGTGTGTGTGTGTGTGTGTGTGTGTGGTGTGTGTGTGTGTGTGTGTGTGTGTTTAATTGTTATGTGTATGTGCGTGCTTGAATGTGTGTGTGTGTGTTTATTTGTCCATGTATAGTTAAGCATGTATCTCTGTATTTATGTATGCATGTGTGTATGTATGTATTTGTATGTATGTATGCAATGTATGCGTGTATGATGTATGTATGATGTATGCATGTATCCATGTATGTATGCATGTATGTATGTATGCAGTATGTATGTATTGTATCATGTATCCATGTATGCATGTATGTTATGTATGTATGTATCCATGTATGTATGCATGTATGTGTATATGTATGTATGTATGTATGTATGTATGTATGTATGTATATAGGAAGGTAGATATGGATATATGTACGTATATATGTACTGCATATATATGCGCGTATTATTTAATGTAAAAGTATTTAAATAAAAGAGAGTTTTAAGTGGTCAGTTGACTCCCTTTTTAACAGTGTTTGAAATGCTCAGGATAGAAGCGAAGAAAAGGATGATGAGGAGGAGGAAGAGAAGGGATGAAGGAAGGAGAGAAGGCAGAGAGGAGAGAGAGAGGAGGAGATGATGAGGAGGAAAGATGAGGATGATGAGGATGATATGGAGGAAGAGGAAGGATGATAGGAGGAGGAGAGAAGGATGCGAAGAGAGGATGAGAAGAGGAAGAATAGGATAAAGAAAAGATAAAAAGAATAAGAGAAGAAAAAAAGAAGAGAAGAAAAAAGATACAAAAATAGACGAATA